ATTTTGTGGATGGTGTTAGTATTATATCAAGTTTTTTTCCCCAATTTTTGGGAGGAGTACTATGTCCCGTTATATAAATTTAAAGAAAAATTTTGTAATTTATTAAGTACACTTCTGTTGCTATTGCAGTTGGGTATGGGCCGTTTTATTTCGAAAGATGCAAAACAAGACATAGGCGATGTTCTGTATTTGTCAGTAACAATGCAAAGGGAATGACAAGCCGCTTCAGCCGAAAACAGTGCATTTTACTTATGATTTCAAATAAAACGCAGGGTTGCCAACTTTGGTCAGCTGGCTGGAGTGAGATTTTCAGTTTGAGTGCACACTCAAAAAAAAAAATAATTGGTTATTTTAGATTTCTTGCACACCTATCTTAAAATGTAAGGGATACTGGAGCTTGGTTGGGGTGGTGGGATGGCTCGCGGTGGATGCCGGAAAAAACCAACACCTTGAAGTACCGTACCTTTGGTACTTTTTCAAAGTACCAAAAGTACGGTACCTGGTGCAGTGGAAAAATACCCAAATAGTGCTGGTCTTCCAGGAGGTCGCTGGGTTGTAGAGCGGAGTCCTGGGTAATGAGGAGCATTTTTGGGTGTCCTTACAGCAAAACAGAGGGTGGGTGAGAGCCGTTTGCAGTGCATTGTGGGCTGCTGCCGGTTATGAGTGTCAGTGGGTTCGGGCTACTCACGGACAGATGAATAATTCAGTCCGGGCCCAGCAGGGCTGCCTCTCCCACTGCCTGCCGGATCTCCGTCACGCCTTGAGCGTGCGGCTCTGTCCACTCCGGCCAAACCTCCTCGGGGCCTTGGTGGAGGAGCACTCCTCTGTGTTTTATCGAATGGAAGAAAACAACATCAAAAGGGTCTTCATTAAAAATTGACAGAGATGTGAAAGCCAGAAGTTGTGGTTGTGGTCTAGAAAGCTGCTACTTTTTATGGTCGGTGTCTGATTAAAGTGTCTGATTAATTCAAACAAACAAATAAATGGTGCTCACTGTGTGTAAAGGTCATTATATTAATGTTCATTCAGAAGAAAGATCTTTAAGACGGTTGTGGTGCATTTCTCTGACAGGTGCAAATGCAACTGGAAATATTCAAGCCCCCAAAGATTTTAAGGGTTTACCTTTGAACGTTTTTTAAAACAGCTAGGTTTTGCTTTGGGTGACTTTATCATTTGAGTGATACAGAAAATCGACAAATAACATGTTTCATGTAATATTCCTGAGTAACAGGATATTTTGTTAATATAGACATGTCATAATTATTCAGCCCCTATACGGTACCAGTCAAAAGTCTGGATGCATCAAGTCACCTACAAAGCAGAGTGATAGTGTCGTGTTGCATTACCTGACCTAAACCCAGCAGAAATGGAAAAATTAAGAGACCACAGCACAATTTTTTGTTTCACTCATTTCTCAATTTATAGGTGTGCGGCTGTGAATAATATATACTTTTTTGCAAACTGCAGCCTGGTCCCTCTCTGTTTCTCATTAATGAAGGGCTTCTTCCTTGCTTTATGGGACTTCAGTCCTGCTTATAGGAGCCTGATGCAAACTGTCCTAGCAGTGCACTTCACACCAGCACTTAATGTTTGCCATTCCTTTGGAAGTCACTGTCTCCAGCTTCACCTTATTCTTCTGTACTGCTGTCTTAGAAATTTTGAACCTGGAAGCAACCTGCTGCTAAGTGTAGCCTTCTGTCAGCAGAACCAGGGTTAAGTCAGGATTTAAAAATGCAGATTTGTTTAATAATATAGAGTGATCTCTTAATTTTTTCTTTGGCTATATATGTGGAAACTCCTTCAGGACAGCTGGGAAAGCATCCCAGGAGGTCCCCTCATGAATCTGGCGTAGATGAGACAGTAAGGTCAGCCAGTCCCTGAATCAGTTGAGCTTAAGGGTCTTGGTCAAGGGCCCAATGGTGGGATCAGTCTGCCGGCCATAGGATTTGAACCAGCAACCTTCTGAATCCCAACCCACTGAAAACCCTACCCGTGAATGTGGTAAAGGTGAAGTACAATCACGGTCAAGACTAAGGAGCATTCACAAAAGCTAGAGAAGAAATTATTTCATTGCATCTGAAGGGCATTGGGTGTAAGAATCCATTGGGAGTTGTCCTAAGGAAGTTTAAAACTTATGGCATAGCAACAAACCCGCTTGCTTGTGGGAGGAATCCCAAAATGTATTCAAGAGCCCTTAGCAACTTAATCAGGGCAACTAAGAAAAAGCCACATGACCTCATGGCCACACTCTGAGACACACTCCACTCCTGACCACAGAGTTCATCAAAGGTCGACTAGAATATGGGAGGAGGAATTTGGATAGTCCGGCAGAAGTTTGGGAGATCACTCTATGGACTGATGAAACTAGCTGGCTGTAGTGGTCAGGCCTTTTTAAAGAGGAACATGCTCCCTTCTGTTGGGAAATTGAACTTTGCTGATGATTGGACTCTCAAGCACGACGGTGATCTCAAGCACGACGGTGATCCCAAGCACACCTCCAAGCCAACCTAGATCCTGGAATGTCCTGGAATGGCCTTCCCAGTCTGCAAGTAAAGAAGGCATCAAACATCAATGAACCAGAGGCTTAGCAGGTGAAGATTGGGCAAAATATTCCAACAGGGAGTTATAGGAAGCTTGGCAGCACTTACAGAAATTATGTATTAGCAGTTACAAAGGCTAAAGGATGCTCCACAAAGAAACAAAACTGGGGACTTAATAACCATGTGTATGCACATCTGTGAAACAAATTACATCAGTTTATCTTCTCAAAATTCAATATGTGGCTTTTTGTTGTGTATCAGGCTTATTGAAAATATACAATTGCTATAATGTCTTTTGAGCTGAGGGAGTTGAATATTTCCGATTGCACCAGTACCTGTGTGTGCGTGGCTGTGCGCCCCCAGAGCTGCGATGCAGTGGGACACTCTCAGCCTCTCTCTCTGTGTGTGCGTGGCTGTGCGCCCCCAGAGCTGCGATGCAGTGGGACACTCCCTGGCCTCTCTCTCTGTGTGTGCGTGGCTGTGCGCCCCCAGAGCTGCGATGCAGTGGGACACTCTCAGCCTCTCTCTCTGTGTGTGCGTGGCTGTGCGCCCCCAGAGCTGCGATGCAGTGGGACACTCCCAGCCTCTCGCTCTGTGTGTGTTTGTGGCTGTGCGCCCCCAGAGCTGCAATGCAGTGGGACACTCTCAGCCTCTCTCTCTCTGTGTGCGTGGCTGTGCGCCCCCAGAGCCGAGATGCAGTGGGACACTCCCTGGCCTCTCGCTCTGTGTGTGCGTGGGGCTCTCAGCACGCCAGCCTGGTGGCAGCTCCACCTTTACCAGCAGAGACAGTTTTTCAGCTTGAGAACATCAGCCCGTAAATCTGCTGTGATGCTAACCCCCCTGCCCCCCCACCCACCCAAAGTGTCCGCTAAGTGCTTAAAGGGCTTCCAGCCGCTCGCCATCCTGCCGGATTACATGTGAGACGCCCTGTGACTGAGAGGCAGGCCAGGCGCTTATGAAATCATAAATACAACCTATTAAATTTATCTCGTACTAATTAGTGTTAAGAGCACTGACAATTTTATTCATCAACTTTAGACACAATTAGTAATTACAGCCATGAGAGAAGCTGGCAATAAGCTGGACGTGTTTGGCGTGTCAGGGCCGCAAAGCCATGACACTCGCGGGGCGATTAGCGGCCTGCTGGGATGCTGAGTGATTGTGCCACTGCAGCCCTAATTGCCCTGAAATGTGGGCTAATGGTAGCGCAGTGCTCGCAGTGGCGACAGAGCGGCCCAAACGAGCAGGCAGGGGCTCACTAGCTGCCCTGAGACTCGAAGCCTGCTTCTGGGGGCTAAGTGAGGCGTGGCACGGACCTCTGCGTCTCCCCCCGCTGGTTGAGTGCAGGGAAGCACTCTCTGTGCTAATTACATTTCATTCTGGGAGCCAAGCAGGTTCTGTTGGAGGGCTCCTTGTGAAGCCTGCCTGCCGCTGGATACTGCCACCAAAAATGGTGGGCGGAGCTCTGTGAGCTGTGGGCGGAGCTCTGTGAGCTGTGGGCGGAGATCTGTGAGCTGTGGGGTGGGTGGAAGTCTGCTCTAGTGGTTTGGGGCTGTGCAGTGAGTGGACTTCTGCTGTAGCAGTTCGGGGCCTTGCGGTGGGTGGAGCTCTGCTCTAGGGGTTCGGGGCCTTGCGGTGGGTGGAGCTCTGCT